CCCCAAAACCCCAAAACCCCAAAACCCCATATAACAAATTCTGTATTGAAATAATTAAAATGTGGAAACAGCTATCTGAAGAAGCTATTGCTACTTCCAATCTCTTTCAGGTCAAGGTTCTCGATGCTATTACTCTGTTGCTCCCTTTCTAAATTAAATTTTGAGAAATAGAGGCCCAATTAAAGTAATGTCTCAAAGCTGAATCAGTTTTTTAGCTTTGAAATTATGTTATAAAAAATTGACAGTTTATCTAATACAAATAGCAAAATTTCATAAGGAAACAAAAGTTAAAGCATGTTTGAGAAATGATATTCATTATATTCTGATCAATATAGCCTCTATTTAGCACTAATAGCTTACTTTTCTTGATTTCGACAGCAATGAATTCTTTACTCTCGATCTAAAATGAAGCAAATGCCTTACTTTATCTCTTAATTTATATTTATTTTCTTTATCATTTTTGACCATTCGCCTATTACCAAGTTAGGAATACCTCCAAAAGTTCATACCTGTAGTTGACAAGATATTTAGACTTGACTCTTTTTGAGTAATCTGCCATCCCCAGCTCCTTCTGGGGAAGCAGCTTCTTGACTGGTTGTACCTGGAAACTCTGGTTATGGACAGGTTCATTCTCTTTATTGACACAGTTTGGCATCTTGAATGAAAACAATGTCATCTTCGCAGGCGGAACTATCTCTCTAGATAGATTAGACTTTGCATAATGAATAATCATACTTTTTGGCGACCTTAGGACGAACTGGATTTTTCACCTTTTGAGGTATTTGAGTCTCTTGTAGGTCATTCTCGGCCTTTAAAGACTCCTTAGACCTTCAACGAATGTAAGAACCTTTTTGTATCAGGTAGGTCTTTGATGGCTTCAATGAATTCTCAGGTCTTTTTGCTAATCTTTTGTTGCGTTTATTGATTCCTTGGTTTCCAATTGATACACTATAGTCTGATCAGATATCTCCAAGAAGTGGGAATTAAGCTGAGCTTACTTGAAAACTATTTTGCCATTCTTCACACGAATGTTGCTCTTATTGATAGCTCTAGATTTAACAACTCTTTGTTGAAAACTTCTGTATCCTTGCTGGCTCTTTGCTCGGGGATTTATCTGTGAATTATTTCCAACTCATCATAAATTCTTGAGAGAGGGAGTTTTTACCCTAATGTTACTTTCGTTTAAGAATTCTGTGTAATCATTGCCTAGTGTCTTAAAATTTGCTGCATTCTTTACTGAAGGAGGCTTGGTGTAAATAGGAGTTCCTCCATCAATTTTAGATCAATTATTTGCTATAAACATGGGCTTGCTAGATTTTATACTCCCTTTTCTGTTACAAACAGAGTCTTTCCCACTACAATATCGGAAGGAAATAACATTAGGCTTTATTTTACTCATCTTGGTCTTAGTGTCCTGAGACAACTTGTTAAAAGTGTAACTATTTCTGGAGTTGGGTCTGACTATAAAACAAGATTAACTACTTTCACTAAATTCTAATCATGACTGGCAAAGCACAATGAAGACATATGACAGCATGGCTTAATCTTACCTGGGTTGACAAGATCAGCATTCCTCCTCTCCTTGCTCTTTTTTGAGAATATATAAGACCCTGCTCTTCTTTTTCCCACGTTAGAGAATGTATTTCTCTTACTAAATCTATAAGTAATAAATTATTGTATAAATTTCAGAGCATAATAATTCATGACGAACAGCTAGTTTTAACAAATATTTCCAAATTCTTAGTATGAAATACATGTGCTGATCCATAAAGTGCCCTGATAGAAAATGTTCAGCTGTAGCCTAGTGGGTAGATTAAGTAATTTAGTACCTAAATTTACTCGCTTATACCTCTAATGATACCATCAGTCTGATAAGTAAGATATCAAAAGGGTTTCTCAATAGATGGCCAAGAGCTAAAATTTGTAGACGTATACCAAATCTTGTAAATTCTATGAAAAAATCTAAAATTCCCTCAAAAAGACTTAGCAATCCCTAAAATGGGTATCTTACTTTTTATGCTTCCCTTTATTTTTATAAAAAATAACTCTTGGCTTTTGTTGAGGGAGGGTTGGTTCATTACCCTGGCCATCTAGCTGGTCAAATCACATATTCATTTCTTGGAAGGTATCCATTTAAAATTATTCAAATATTTAAACTCATATGGGGTTTTGGGGTTTTGGGGTTTTGGGG